AAAAAAAAAAAAAAAAAAAAAAAAAAAAAATTAAAAAAGAATAAACTTTGGCTAATTTCGACACACGTGTGATTAGTAGATAGGACATTGATTAAAAATGACAATAGAAAACGAATTGAGCGAGCACGTCGTCGGTGTAAGAAATCAGAAGCAAAATCTGGAATTAGCGAGGATGCAGGCCGTGATTAGGCCTGGACCTTTGAAAGCCGTCTCGAATTACTTGGCGCGAGGAATTTCCTGTACGGGACGATTTGTAGCAGTAATCCAGGCTTACGGTTCCCGGTGCTTGGATGCGCTTTAATATGATTTAAACCTACCACCGTGTTGGCTACCGTGTTACGATCGCGAAGCTCTTACTGGCTACATGGGCCTTCCACAGAGTCCTTGAGGAATACTCGAGAGAGCGCGATGAAGCGAGACAGTGATACACGCGTGCGTACACGCAAGAAAGTGGCATAAAATACGTAGGCGAAGTACCGGTTTTTTTCCAGAGCCACTACTGTTCCTCTCTGAATTTTAAATTCTCTCTGCTACCGAATGCAATTAAGCCGCATTCACCACCGGGCAAAAAATCGAATTGCAACAAAAGTACGCAGGCTTGCTTCAGCACCTAGTATAGCTTTATCTCGAATTTTGCTTCGTTCTTCTTGCTCGATGCTCGATGTTATATACTTCACTTTCTACTATATACGACTCTAATCTCCGGCGAGATTCTCTGTCTCTTCGGGGCAGCTTGAAATGTAATGTAAAACGGGTTATTCCTCGCACGTGTTTGCGCTTTGCAAATTCAGCCGTTCACGTGCGCTGGCTGAGACAATTTCGTGACGCGAGTCACTCGACACACCGGCTCTCTCTCTCTCTCTCTCTCTCTCTCGTAGCTTGCTTTTATTTTCTTTGTCTTTGGTCGCGCGTCTTTTTCTTCTTCTGCTCCTTCTGCACTTCCTTTGCTTGTTCCGTCGAGTAAGCAAAGCGACCGCTTTGAGGTAGCCGCCGCGTTGCAGGTCGGCCGACGCGACGCTGACGTACGAAACGACACACTGGGCGACGCATCAACGAGATACTTCACTGCGATCCGTGCCTTGGCAAAAGTGACAAGGCCCCGGTAATTATAACGGGTGGCGTTAAAAAAATGGCTCCTCTCGTCTACACGTCTTTCTCCTTTCGTTTAGCACGCACTCGACATGCAATTTTTCTTCTAAGCGCTTCCCTTCTTGTCAAATCATTCGCCCGATCATCGCGATCTTCTCTCGAAATCCCCGACGATTTCCTCGATTCATCCTTTCGGTTCATCTTCGTCGCCCGCGACGGAAATCGCACGTTGGATTTGCTGGAATTATTGAATTACGCATAACTGCAGTAAAATCAATGAACGTGATCCAATGAACGCTGATTATTAAATTCTCAGCCTCACCGTTTGACCATCATCAACGGTAAATTAATTATACGCAATGAAAAATAGATGAGGTGCATACCACACAACATGATTGTATATAATCTTCAATTACAAAATTACCATTTATCTATTCAAGTAGATCAACTAGCTTTTCAGTTTCTGAACAGATGTGAGTTACAGGCAATAATAAATGATCTTATAATTGGCGGATTATAACTTTAAATTGCTGTTGATTTATAATTCTTCGTAACTGCATTTACGTGATTAGGCATTAAAACGAAATATACCAGGAGATTAATTGTTAAATATAACTTTATGTGATATATGCAATATGTTATTAGCTGTAGTTCGTTGTCTATCTCATTAGCAATTTATTTTTATAAAAAAAATAATGATTTATTCCATATGATACCAATATCATACATGTAGTGACATCTAGAATTCAGAGGCGAAGATATAATGTTTCATTATGTGCCAATAGATGGCAGCAAAATATTGTACACAAAAGACAATTGTTGGTAATATTTTTTTATACCCAAAAAATATTCATTTGAAAGCAAACATTTCACGAAAACTTTTAAGGAATTACTGGATGTCATACTAAGTGTGTGGACTGCCTCGTGATTTCCAAGATCTAAAACGCTAAAGAAAATTTTCATATTCCCAATTTACTATATAAATATCGAACAGGTACTGCCATATTATAAATTTTACTGCAAAATGTATCATAGATGTATTTTATGTTTTTTATTCTGTTTTTACGTCAAATTTAAGTTCAAAGTCAAATAATATTTAAATATTTTGTACGTTGTCTTCTGTATACTTAAATATTTAAATATACGATTGTAACAAATGTGAATGTTCTTCGCACCATTTGTCGCTGTAGATATTTCTGAAAGTTTTCCACGTTTCTTTCTTTTATTACTTCATTTTTTGAAATTTAATTACATAGAGAGTGTAAAAGATAGAGTTCTAATTTATTACAATGGAAGAGTTATTAAAACGTCCAAGAGTCACGAAAGAATCGACTATTCATGATATTGCATCTTCTATAAGTAAGCGAATATTTTTTTGAGTTATTTATTGAATTATAAACTATATTACGTATATTATGGTTAAATATTCTTTTTGAATAAGTTTTGCAAATTTTTGATTTTAATATTTTAGTTTGAAACCAACGAAAGTGAGGTTATGTTTTTTAGTTCTTTTCACAATGTAAACATCTGTCATCAATCTGTTTGTTACATATTTCAGGAGAAGTATCTGAATCAGTCTCGACTATAAGTGAAAGATACAGAACACTTTTGAAAGTTAACAAAGCATTGGTTTCGTACATGCAAAATGATAAAAAAAGACAGCAGATTTCAGCTATAAATGACATACAATCAGATATGGAACAAACAAGATTAACATCTGATTAATAATTGTATAATTTACCTATATGATAATTTACAGAATGAATAATACTTTCTGTTAATTAATGTTTAAAATATGTACATAATTACTATACAATAAATTTTTACATTTTGCTATATTAAAATGTTCTTTAAAAATACTTTCACGTATACTTTACAATAATGAATTAGTGCTGTTGTGTATGTGTAAATACCATGTTGTATATATGTGTGTGTGTGAAAGATTAAAATAAATATGTATTATATGTCTATATAAGTCTTATTATTAGTTTATAAATCATATTCTTATTTGTAGTCTGGACTTTGTTTAAGTTTTTACTGGGATTATTTACATCTTGTCATTATTAATGATGCATTATGTGACTCTTTTTTTTGTTACAATCAGACCCTTTTGTAAATACAATCCAAGTTTTAGACAGTGATAATTGCTGACATCCAATAATAATACATTTAGTAATAATTACATCAATCTTGTAAGATAGAGAAACAAATATTATTTCAGTTGGCTATTCCTAAATTACTTTTCCCTTGTTATGCATTCATAGGTGTATTTCCTGGTCACGCAGTAATTCATACAGTGTATTGCATATGTGATTTTTAAATATTTATATTGTAATACTAATCATAGTAGTATACGCATATTCATTGTTGTATCAGGAATTATCGATACCACGAATTTTCAGATAATTCTGATCATGGTATTGTAATGCTATTTTATCTGATAGGAAACTAAATAGGTTTTCTATCTTAAAACTTTTTTAGATAATTTTAACAATGGAAAAACAGACAATACTTATTTCTCTTTGTTCGATGGTCTAATTTCCGGTTTAGAAAATTGTCTCTCAGAGGATGTGGTTCTCGAGTGGTTCGGCAATATAATCGAAGGTTGGAAAAATGTGTCTGTCTTCATAAAAAATCGTAAAATAAATTCTAGACATATATTCTTGCATATCATACCCATTAATGGTATCAGTTTCGAAAAGAAACATTTAAACTGGTAAGAACACACGAAGGTAAAAAGGCAGGTTTTATGAAATGAGGATGAATTTTAATATTAGAAGAAGAATTTTAATTAATGTTAGATTTATGTATAGGACCAAGTTTTGTGTGCGTCGTAATCCACTGCATCAAGAATGCCAGAAAGAAGATAATAATTTTGTCAGTGATGCAATCCATGAGTCGCTTCTCGAAGAAACGGAAAAATCGTCGATGTCCGACGCTATAACAGGCATTAGTCAGAACAAAATCCATGCGAATGAAGTTAATTATGATTTAAGCGAAAGTGGTACTTTCAACCTCGAGACCTTGTTGAACATAGAAAAAATCGAATATTCCATTAATAAGCTAAAATTGCACGAAGAAACATCGACCATCAAGCCAGAGTGCGACCAAGAAGATGAACATGTTCAAGTTAAATACATGGAGGCAAATGGCGAAATAGAATTTTCGAAGTTTAGAATATTTGGTAAGAAATGAGGCATATACCTCGTCTGTGCTGACGCATTCACTAGTTCTTCAACTCACCGTTGTGTAGAGTGCGCTAAAAAACCAATGATTTTTCCCTATGTCGGTATTTCAGGTCACGAGTCACGAAATCCCGTAAAATGCTTGGTCTATTCATATATTTCGTCAGTGGTAGTGTGGTGTCTTGCTTTGGCCAAGGTGTCGCCATCTGTTAGTAAATTATTGGTACTAATCAATTGTGCTAAAAATTGAATAAATCAGAAAACGTTATTAATTTGAACATTGGATCTCTGTTTTGACGTGCAATGTTTTAATAAACATTTTACAATTATTTTACAAACAATTCAATTCATAAATGTAGTTCAAAATAGATAACTATATTAATTTTATAGTATAAAATTATATTGAAATTCTATGTATATAAGTTTTATCGATAGAAAGCAAAATTCCTTATTTTGATTGTTTGCTTTGATGTCCGGGCTTTTCAATTTTACGCGCCCCTTTAACTAAAGAGAACGCATAGCCAATAGGAAAATGACTAGCCGAAGTTTAGGCGCAAAACGACTTTAGTCAGCTGTTGGGAAACGTGGCGTTAAGATATCTATATTCATTTGACGCGTGTGATTTTCTGTTATTGTGTAGCATTCTCATTACCATTTTATTACCTTTACCAGACTCTTAACAGGTTTGTTTAACTAATATGTTTTTATTTAATATTTCTGTAGAACGATATTTAACAATTTGTTGAACAACATTTTTCATTGATTGTCAGCTTTTAAGACAGAATTTGATATCAATTTTAAACCTTTGGTTTTCTTTTGTTCAGATTGAATACTGTTGTCGAATACTGA